CCTCGACAAATGGGATGTTGATCTCTAACTTTCTGAACATCTCTAGAAACTTCTCAAAGTTTTTTCTCATGCTGATCTTTTCTCTTGTTTCTAGTGGGGAAAGGAAGCTTAATGACGGGTTTTGGTTCAATGGGTTTTTCCTTCACAACCGGCTTTTGAATCTGTTCTTCCTCAATGGGGATTTTAATTTCTAAGATTTCTAGATCTACCTCAAGTAGTTGGTCCTCTTCCTTAGATTTCTCTTCAGACACTTCAACCTTATTCCCACTTCAAGTTGTTATGATATTCACACTATTACGATCTCTTGGATTTGTCACTATTGCACTAGGTAGGTCACATTGTGCTTGAGAATTTGTTATCTGTTGTGCTATCTGACCCATTTGAACCTCCAGATTCTTAATAGAAGCATTAGTGTTGCTCTGGTTGTTTTTAGTCTCTTCTTGGAACTGGATACTTTGAGCGGCCATCTTTTCAATGATAATTTCCCAATCAGCTTTCTTTGGAGCATGTTGTTGATATTGTGGATGAGGTTATTGATATGGTTGTTGATACGGTGGTTGATGTTGTTGTTGTGGTTGGTTTTGGTACTGAGTCGACCCTTGCTTATGTGCATTCCCTTGTTGGTCTTTCCAGGAGAAGTTTGGATGATTCTTTCCAACCCGAATTGTAAGTATTAGAATAAGGGTTGTTCTGCTTTAAGAAATTAATTTCCTCAATTTGTTGAGTCGTGGCTACACAATGCATAACAAAATGAGGACCCCCTATAAATCTCACAACTAACAGCTTGTACCGATTGAACTTGTGCTCTAGTTTGGGTACCTATATTCATAACTTTCAGTCTCCTCTCAACTTCAGCAATAATTTGATCTTCCATCTTCACCACTTGGTTAGCCAGTTTCAAATCAATCACTCCTTCATGCTTGCTCGCACTTTAATCATACAATTCCAGGTGTTTATTTGCAGCAATGGCTTCAATGATCTTTTTGATACCAGTGGTTGTTGTAAAGTTGGAAGAGCCACCAACAGCTGTATGAATAAGTTATTTTGTCTTCATTCTGAGACCATTTACAAACATCTGCATTTGTTCTGTTTGATCCATATTATGTGTGGGAAAAGCAACTAATAACCTCTTAAACCTTTTGTATGCATCACCAAGTGACCCTCCTTCCTTCTGTTTAAAATTCCCAATATCATACCTTTTTCGAATATAAACAGAAGCTGGAAAGTACTCATTTAAGAAAAGTTGTCTCCATCTCCTCCTAAGTAGTAATACTCCTTGCAGGTAAAGAATAGAACCACTTTTCGGCATCTTCAGAAAGAGTGAATGGAAACATAAGTAACTTTTTAGCTTCTTCCGAATGCTCCTCAATTTTAAATGTTGTGTTCATCGTAAGAAACCTCTGTAAATGCTTATTTGCATCTTCATTGATTTTTCCAATAAAAGGTCTCTTTTCAGCTGACGGATTATTGTCGAATGCAGTTGGAAGTTTGCTACATTAATCGGTTGATTCACGATATCAACCGATCTGCTGGAGCATTTGCTCCTCCATAGTCACCCATAAGTCTTTCTGCTGGTGGAAGTCCAGCCATTTCACTCCTTTTGGCTATGTCACTATGTCTGTGTTGGACTCTGAATCAGAATGCTTAGAATGAACCAAAATTTCTTCTTCTGACTTTGCTAGTTTTGCTTGACAGTGTCTCGCGTGTAGTGATCTTTTGGGTTTTGCGTCAAAAAGAAACTCAGCTGAGGGCTTTCCTCGCATACACATATTAGACAAATATTAGTAAAAATAAAAATAAACCTAAAAATAAACAAAAATAAAATTTTAGTCACAAAGCAACAAAATTTCAATTGAATAAAATTCATCTTATATTTGGCAGTCCTCGACAATGATGCCAAAAACTTGATTGCAAAAATAACAAGTGTACTATTATGCCGATTATAGTTAAAATAAGAGAGTTATCCCCAATATCGATCTTGAGGATTGCATAGGAAATATAAGCGTAATTTGTATTCAATCAAACAAAACTCAATTGGGGGTTTTTAGATTTGATTTGAGAATAGTAAAAGACAATATTTAAAATAAGGCAAACGAAGGAATAAGGTTTAACAAGATATGAGGGCATACTAGGGGCAATGTATGAATTGCCTTGCAAGAATATCAACCCTTATTTCATAACATAAACACAGTTTTTATCAAGTTCTTGACTGCTCTTAGTGTTTACTCCTAAGGCCTTAGCGAGAAAACCTTTGAAATCATAACCAATTTACTACGTCCATAGGAAAACTAATTTGAAATCAAGTATTGAAAATAGTTTCAGCAGTATTCAAGTGCACAACAAGGTAATCCTAGTCCTAGGAATTATCTACTGAGGCATTATCGATCAAACTGTATTAACAATGGTTTTTTCGGGCTAAGGTTAACTGAAAAATTAAATTAATTTGTCCGATTGAAAAAGTGATAAAATCATTGAACGATAAAACTTGAAAAATAGAAATAAGTGCTTATGTCATCAACAAGGAAATAATATTTATACAATAGCCATCCAAGGACACCCCCTAGCATTGGGGGGTTTAGCCTATCATAATAATAAAAGTAAATTCAACAATTAGATTTAACATTACAAGGGTGCTTGGGGATGACGTTGATCTTCAATTGCTTCCGCCCTTGAAAATCTTTCGTTCTCCCTTTTGCTCTTGAGTGCTCAATCCTTCTTGTCAAAACCTTTTCTTATTCTCGAAATATAATAGTCAAAAAGTGTCTTTTCCTTTTGTCCAGATGTATCTTAAATACTAATAGATCCAATACTAAACTCAGGAAATTCTGAAAATACCCTCGGGGGTCAAAACAGACAGAAATAACAAGAAATTGGAGAATGACACCCCCAAGCCAACACGGGCCATGTTGGCTCCCTGTTCCTCTGATCCAAGAATTCTCTGTGCCAAACTTGCTGACACGGACACCCGTGTCAGCCCCCTACTTTCTTCTCAAACATGGCCTCAAGGATCCTCTCCTGACACGGCCCGTGTCAGACCATTATAATGCTTAAAAAACTCATCCAACTTTTCCCGAATCTTTTATTTCTTCGCCAGAGTCTTTTGTCTTTCTCCGTATGGACCTGAAAACATCAAGACCACTACCAAACGCGTAAAATGCACTAAATGTAACAAAATTACTAGAAAAACATAAAACTTGAGAAAAACATGAAAATAGTAAATATAACTCAAAAGTAGTAAAAAAACTAACATAAATATTACCGATTCGTGGATTAGATGTCAAATAAGTGCGGGACACAACATAGAAATGGTGACTGATCAATCATCCTTGAACTCAGATCCATTAACCTAGATATAGCCACATAACCCTTATCATTTAAAAAAATAAAAGAAAAGAAGCAATAAGAGAAAAAACAAAAATAACAAAATCGCTTATCTCTTCTAAAAAACGCTTATTTCTTCTCTCTTTCTCTCACGATTCATACGCTATTAACTCGTCGCCAACATTGTTCGGTATTTGGAAAATATCTCAGAGCAAGAAACGTAAATGTAAACATATCGATGAATAACCCACCATTTGAAATATGAAAACAATAAATCCAAAACCATAGATCTGAGCAGGAAGCAACACAAGAAGATAGAACAAAAAACCTCAAAATCAAAATGTTAGAAGCAGATCTATACAAATCTCTACAAAATCCAAAAATCTACAATCACTTCTAGATCTTCATCCATCAAATATGCAATAAATCAAACTAAGATAACAGATCTGGATTTTAGAGTGAACAAAAAAAAGAAGAAAACTATGATGAATCAGAATGGAAAACGAAAAAGATACAGAAAAATATAAGATCAAGAAGAAAGAAGATGAATGACAAACCAACTTAAAGTTTTATGATTTTTCGGAATAGTTGATGCTGTTGATTGTCTAAATTGACATGAATGAGAAGTTATAGTCGGAGAGAGAAGAGAGACAAGATGAAAGATAAAATGAGTTTAGATAGAGAAATGGTGGTTGATAGAATGAATCTTTATATTGTTTAGTTAGTAAAGAAAAAAAAGTAGCATTGAGAACCAAATGACGCAAGAGAAAAATGTTTCATATGGAAATGAGTTGATTCAAAGGAGAATATATTGAATATGACAAAAAACATTTAGTTTGCATTGAACCAACTGATGTCATTAGTTGGAAAAAAGCATTACTTGGACAACATTTACCCTAAAACTGATGTCGTGACAGTAAGCAAATTAAGGGCAAATATGACTTTTCAAAACATTTACTTTTCTTATATTATAGACACCTGTTCTTTCGTAAAACACAATTTGTTCCTAGCAGACCACAACCACCGATAAACAACCAAAAATATAGAGTCACCATCGATGTCATGCCTAATCCAATTGTATAAGCTATTAATTTGAAAGAATAATGGGTCCAAGAAGCTAATAGATTTTCAAAAGCGAGTAGCAAATTCATAGTCTTTCAGGTAGTGGAGAGTCGTCTTAGCGTATTGATTGCATTTAGGATAGAGATTCGTCTGGAGCATACCACAATAACACAACATCAATCTCGTAAAAAGAAACTTATGCAAAACTGTTCAAAAAAAAATTTTCACATTCCCAAGAACAAAAATTTACCAGACCCACTTCCAAGAGTTATTATCAATATAAATGATATATGAGAGACTAGAAAAAATAAAAATAAAATTAGGAGAAATATAAATAAAATAATAAACAATAAAATAAAAAAATCAATTATAGAATAAAATGTAAAAATAAAATAGAAACAAAAATGTAACAAATAAAATCGAGAGTCAAAATAGGATATACCAATAATTATACTAAAACTAATTAAAAAAAAGCTAATATTGGAGAGTGGAAACTGATTTAGGGTTTGCGATTACGCATCATATAAATACCAATTATCAAAAGCCAAACCTTCCTCTCAACACTCCACACTTCTTCACACACTCTCGGCAACCGATTCATTCCAATCTAATCTCCAATGGCAGTTACTTTCTCAGATCTACACACAGAAGAGGGTCTCAAATCCCTCAACGATTTCCTCTCCGGAAAAACCTACATTTCTGGGTAAACTCAAACCCTTTCAATCCCAATTTATTCATTGTTTCAAGTTTTTCTGAGAATTTGATTATTGAAATTTGTATTCTTTTGATTCAGGGATCAATTGACCAAGGATGATATCAAAGTGTATGGAGCTGTTACTGAGAAGCCAAGTGGGTCTTTTTCCAATGCTGCTAATTGGTATGATGCTGTGTCTTCAAGTCTTGCTGCTAGGTATGGTCTTTTCACTTTTTGTTAATCAATTATTAGTTTATTTTCATTTTTATTGTGATTGTAATTTGAATTTGATTATTGTTTGCTGATTGGTTTTGTATGAATAGTTTCCCTGGAAAAGCTCAAGGTGTAAAGTTTACAGGAAGTGGTGCTGCTCCAGCTGCAGAAGCACCTGCCAAAGCAGTATGTATCTCTCTGAATTTTGGTTTTTGTGTGTTACTTTATGTTTATAGTTTCTGTTATGAGTTTTATAGGTATTTGATTTTTGTTTCTTTTATGTATTTTAGAGTGAGTTTTATAGTTATTTGATGTGTGTTTCTTTTATGTATTTTAGAGTAACCTTGAATTGATATTTGTGAAATCAGATAATTTTGATTGATCTTACAATGACTAAGATTTGCAAATAATAACTTCTAACACATGTTCAAATCCACATCTGCTGTTTTTCAATTTGTCACTTTTTCGAACTTCAGGGTCCTGGTAAACATTTAAGCTTTTATCTGATGTGAAAAATAAACATTTAAGCTTTTATCTGATGTGAAATAAACATTTAAGGAGATAAAAACTTTGAATTTTTTTCTTCCCAAAAGAATAGAACTTGATTTGTAACAATATTAATATGTTTTGGTATATAGTATATAGTCACTGAAAGGTTGTTATTGATTAGGAGAGTATTGTTGTAGACTCTGCATAAATTATAAAATTGTAGAACATTATGTCTTGATAAATTATTCTCAATTGCAAATCATGGTTGAATACAACTTAAGCAGACAAGCAACACCCAAAAGTGAAAAAAATAAATAATCATGGTAGATAACACTCTAGCGATTTGTAAACAATATTTTATTGATAAATAATCATAGTATTCCACATTAAATTTTATATTTTTCTACCTGATTTTTTAAACAATATTTCCTTTATCATATTTTGATTTTATTTATTGATTTAGCAATTAATCTAGTAATTAGTGATTGTTTTTGATTTACCATGGCTAGAGTATATTTTGCAGTATACATGATCAATACTATAACTGAAATTCTGGTTCATACTAAAGAGGACATTAATTCTTGTATTGCATAATACTGAATTTTGATTTTTAGTTGTGAAGTGAAATCAGTTTGGCTGAAACATACTGTGCAACAAAGATGTTTTAGAGCTGTATAAAGCTCTTGACAGTGAGATTCAGCCAATCATGTGTTCATTGCAGATTTGATATAGCTAGGCATTATCTTGTAATTGTAATTTAGAGTTGTAAGATGTACTGTAATGTGTTTTTGACATGATGATATTCAATGACATACTATAATAAAAGTAACATCATATTCTTGGTTCAATTGTATCTGATAGAATTAATTGTTTATCGATTACATTGTTGTTATCTTAGTTAGCAACAATGAAGGGGCAGTGCTTGTGTGCTATACACTTCTGAAACTTTTGACTTTATGGAAATGCCTGAGTTTTGGTCAAGTTGTAGTCATTGTTTATACTTGTAGTGGAGTCACCGATTGAACTATTTGAATTAACTATTTTGATAATTTGGATTTGTTTTGTCAGGATGCGCCCGCTGCTGAAGATGATGATGATCTTGACCTCTTCGGTGATGAAACAGAGGATGAGAAGAAGGCAGCAGAGGATAGGGAGGCAGCTAAAAAGCCTGCCAAGAAGAAAGAAAGTAAGCTTTCTTTTTAACCTTACAAATTTTTTGTTGCAAAGTATCAACAGTTTGTTGAGAAAAGTTGTAGATTTGCATAAAGATTATTACATTGTTAAATCAAAATTATTGTCAAGTGTCTGAAGCTCATCAACTGCATTTTTTTATAGGTGGCAAATCTTCCATTCTGCTTGATGTTAAGCCTTGGGATGATGAGACAGACATGAAGAAGCTGGAAGAGGCTGTTCGCAGTGTTGAAATTCCCGGTTTAACCTGGGGAGCATGTATGATAAAAACTTTAAATATTTGTTAATCTTTCTCATATCTATTTGTGGGTTACTAAATGTTTTATTTTCTATTGTTACACAGCCAAGCTTGTTGCTGTTGGATACGGGATCAAGAAGCTACAAATCATGATGACAATTATCGATGACCTTGTCTCCGTGGACGACCTCATTGAGGAGAGACTCACAGTTGAGCCAATCAATGAGTATGTCCAGAGTTGTGACATCGTCGCATTCAACAAAATTTAAGTTGAATTTGGCCATTTTCAAGCGGCCGATCGGAATGTTCTTCCCCCTCTCCCCTCAGTTCTCTTCCTTTTACATTTTCATGTTTGGTGCGTTTCTATAGTGTTTTTGTTAGAAGTATTTATGGAGTAAAAGAGTTAAGAGTCATGTTATGGTCTAACTTAAATGTTATTCACTTCAAACACCAGGCACATTTACTTTGTGGGGTTTGCATTACTGAATCGCATGCATCTATTTTATTTTTGTTAAGTTTCATTAGAACCCTTTTTATTGAATCTATACACAATATAAAGTCAGTTAAACTACGTTTGCACGTTTTCATAGTATGATGCAATCAATGGAGACAAGTGTTAGAACAGTTTAAAGGAGAAGTAATCAAGTAAAATAGTGATCCTATTCAATTTAATGACAATATAATTTCACACCAATTTGAGTCAGGAAATTTCAGAAACTCGTAATTTCTTCCTAATGATGGAAGCTAAATGCTTAAATGCAGTGTGCATAAGATGTACATTGATATTATCTTAGCTGCAATAAGTTGTGATTTCTTAGATTCATTCATAAATATACTTAGCATGCAATAACATAGTTGGATCCTTGCATTTTATCTTTTAACTTTAAATAAAGGAAATTTCTTACTTCACCGATTGCTTTCTTAAACACATGTGCTTTGTCCAAAATGCCCTTATGATTTTGGAGACGTATTTTCCGACATATTTTTTATAAATTTTTTAATTAATTTTGTAGATGTATCTACGAAATATTTTTGTATGTGTATTTACGGAAGAAATTTAAAAACAAAATACCATAAAATCAACATTGCAATGATAAAATTAACATTTATAAAATAAAATTGGCGTTATTGATAATTTCGACAAAAAATTAAATACTACATTTCAATAGCCTGGTGGACGCTTGCACTTATCTAAGATGTCATCGCCTCCAACTCGAGCGAAATTTTCTTTTCAAAACCGAAATATGTTCGCCACATCGCCATTCTTGAGCTCAAACTTGTTGTAAAAAAACATTCCCTTCGTTGTCAACTGAAGGTGAACGATACTCAAGCTTCACAATCTTTCGTTTGTCATTGTAAGTGATATTGAATCTCATCTATGATATCGATGAGTGGGGTGAGATCCATGAGCTTAAACGTCTCCCGGGTGTTTTGCTGTCGGAAAAGAAGACACTTACGACATACCAACAGAGCTTGATTTCAAACATTTGAGACATTTTTGTATTTGTGTGAAAGATAACGCATGAAACCCCATATTTATAGAAAATCTAGGTGAATATGGACTAACTATTTTCTGTCAATCTTTTTTTTGGAGCTATATTCACGGAACGAACCCATAATTATTGGTTCCAGAGGTGTATCTCCGGAATTTTCTCCGGAATTTTCCCTGAAACTGCAAAATTAAGAACCTTTCGTAGATACACATTCTGAACTTTTCCTACTATATTTTAAAACCAGAATTCAATATAGAAGCACATCATAATAGACAAATAAAAGGCACAGGTGCTTAAATAAGGCATAAGAATAAAAAGTGACTATTTTGTACTTCAAAATTTTTACAATTAGTCGTCAAATTATACAATAATTCAAAACGAATCAAAACAAGTGTCGCCGGCTAAATATATTGGTGGTACCCCTTTGGAATTTTCCGCATCCGATTCCTTTTCAATGTTGTTCAATCTCTCGAATTTGTGCATCCTTTCAACAAAACGATCCGGTCACGTCTCGACATTTGTGGTTGAACGAGTTTCCCATTTCGGTGATGTAGGTGGTATGAAGCATCCAAGTTTCAAGCAAACTTGTAAAAAATGTCTTGATTTTGCAAGCCATTCAATACACAAGATGCGACCAATTAGATTTTGAGGTGGTGCGGTGCGGAGTGGAAAAAAGCTTTCCGAAAACCCGTATTGCGTCAAATCAATGCACACCTTATCATATGCACATGCAATAAGATGATCCACCGCGGGTTTGACCCGACTTCTCACATTCTTTGTTATGTGATATCAACAAAGTAATACATTAGAAGAAGGAAATACCGCATTCATCAACGTGGTATCGCGGTCGGTAACAATCACTTTAGGCATCTCAACTTGGTCCTTCAAAAGTGACCGATACACCTCTAATGCCCATGTAAAATTGTCCTTTTTTTCACACTCCAGAAAAGCAAAATCAACGACATATGTCTTCTCGGTAGACATAACACCAACCATCTCAAATAAAGGAAGTCTATACTTGCTGGTCTTGTAGGTAGAATCAAGAACGAGCACTGTCTAGAACGTGTTGAACAACTTTATCGAATGTTGGATGAGTCCAAAAATATCTCACACCGTAACTCCATCGTTGCAAGTTCTGTACCGGAACACGTAATTGTTATTATCCAATAATTTCAACAATTGTTACATCTCACTTCTATCTCCTCTAATCGCCTTGTTGGTACGTACCGAATGTTACACACTTGCCTTATATTTGATATATCATCGGGTTCGTTCCGTTTTAACGTGACAAGTATATTTTCGGTTGAACAAGATTCAAGGTCATGTCACTAATACATGTCTTCTCTTCCGGCTTGAGCCGACATACACTAGGATGACCTTGTAACTTTAAACACAATTCATGGTTATGCAAACCCCAAATAACACTAAATTTCTACTTTTTGGTACTTAACATGTAACCATGAATCTTAAAAAGACATTCACATTTTCTACTACCGGTGTCGTCTCCTTTAAATTTTCGTAGAGGAGTCTGATATTTTCCGCTTCTTTCCCACAACAAAGTTACAAAAGCGTTTCTTCTTTCTTAACCATTATTTGATCTTCCTATAACCACTCCAAAATCAAGTCTAGTTGGAGTCCTACAAATTAACGTGAGCATACTATCACGATCATCAAACTCTTGCTTGTTATTAAAGTCAACGCCAACATCTACCTACTTTACAACAACCCCTTGAACATTCGGAGATACATTGTTTGTGGAAACTAATTCTTTTAAGATATTATCGGGGTGCACCATATCTACTTGTAAACAATAAGAAAAATAAACAAAAATTAAAAATCTGTTGTAAAAAAAACAGAACAGACACGTTCCGGAGATATACATCCGAAAGTGTTCTTCTTCAACACGTTCCGGAGGTACAACTTCGGAAGCAAAATTACTTTTTTTCCAGAGCAATGTCGTGGACAAAGTGCAATATTACCTGAAATTCGATCTTCTCTTACTCCCTTTGATTTGTTGCACGAAAAAAATTAGAGTTTTGGAGTGAAAATGATATTGATAATGTAGGGTTTTTTAGGTTGGTGAAGATGAGTGTGGAAGAAGAAAATACAACAATGGGGGAATGATCATGCATGTTTCAAATATAGCAAAAATTTTCGGAGCTGTATCTACGGAACAATCTGACGCTTAGACGTTCTGGAGGTGCATCTACGGAAGTTTTCCTGAACTGAATTATTTTAAAGTTTTTTCCAACGTATAGCAGTTTAAAATGATTCTATAGATGTACCTTCGGAAAAAACTAAATTTTTACAAAAAAAATGCGTCAGAATATATATTTCTAAAAACAGGAGACATTAAAAAAAACTCGCTAGATGTCTAAGAATATCAAGGAGTGAATTAAGAAATTTTCTAAATAAAATTATTTGGATCCTTGAATTTGATTTCATAACTTTAAATAAAACCATTTGGATCCTTAAATTTTTTTAAAAAGTATCATATTAATCATTTCTATTCAAATGTGAGTAACAACATTGTGACTGAGGTAATGTTGAAAAATTCGGCCACTAAAATGTTTTTTTAGATTTACTAGATTTTGTGCATAAATGTTCATCTTTCTTCATAAGCAAGATGAAATATAGATTCTATATCAACCCCTACCACAATTTCGAAATCCTTCAGCCATTATTGGTTTCCTTGCTGCGTTTATTGGCATGCTCTCACTAATTGGTTCCGACATGGTTTTCCATTTACCCTGCTAGCTCATAAACATAGTGTTTAAGCATTTTTTTAAAATTAAAGATACTTAAATGTCTTGCAATAAACAACGAAGGCTAATGATAGAACAACATAAAATATAAAATCAGAATTTTGAAGGTAGTAACAATGGTGAAAAGAAACTTAGGTGAAGCTATTTAAATAGGGGCATCTGTTGCACCCCAAATTTGTCCTACCTTTACATGGTTTCTAGTGCCACTTTATTTCGAATGAATAAAATGGCACAATTGGAAGGAGACCGTGTGTGAGGAGTTGTGAGTCTGAGAGGTCAATAGTTCGAATATTTTCGTATTTTATAATTTTGACTAATTCTTTAAGTTGGGCTCTAAAGTGGCATTAGGTTAGAGTTAACCCTAATTTGTTACCTATATAAACATGAGTTGCATTTGAGAAAAAGGGGAGAAGGAGACAAAAGAAAAAACGGCGGCCGTTCTCACAACTTATCAGAAGAAAGAAGGAACCCACGAACCCAGAAGGAGAAGAAAGGGACGGTTCTTCGAAGAAGAAGACAGAGCTTCCTTCGTTAATCATCATCATCGCGACTTAGAGAAGCTCAAGCTCTCATCATTGTCCTCCTTCCGGAACTGCTTCAAATCCCATCTCAAGAATCCGTCGCCGTTACCGTAGGCTTTTCCTAACTTTTTAGATTTAGTTAATATTAAAATCAATTTTCTTAATTAAAACTCCTCTTGAACCAAAATTCTTTTTTTAGAGGTTAGTGCATTATTTTTAATTAAATCATTTTTAAAAAGAAATACAACAAAAGAAACATAAAGCTAACATTAAGACCTTTTATTCAACATTAAAGCTTTTTTTGAACAAGATTTAAAACTCTTTTATTAAAGTTAAAACCTCTTTTAAAGTTTTTTTTTCTTCTTCCAAAATTAAAATATTTTCTTAAAACTAAAACTTTTTTTCCAAAATTAAAATCTTTTCTTTTTTTTTCTTTCCAAATTTAAACCACCTTTTTAAAATTTAAATCTAAGTTTGTAAATTAAAATCA